CGCTGCAGCCGCCATGGTGGTGGTGGCCGACGTGTCCGGCGCCCTCGCCGCCGTGCGCCCCGTGGTGTGCCTGGCCGTCGCCGGCGGACATGTTCATCCTCCAAGCGGTGCCACCGCCCGTCGTGGTGCCGCGCAAGACGTCCATTCGGCCCTCAAACAGAGGCACCCAAACGCAGTTACGTTCAGGAAGCCCCAAGACGGCCTCGCTTGTACCTCGTGAACTACTGGAAGGAGACGGCAAACAGAAGTTCTTTTTTTTCTTCAAACAAAAGACAGAAAACTGGGGCGTGGCAGCCGCTCCCTCGCCCTCCGCGCGTGCGGGGCGTGGCAGGTTGGGCCGGGCGGAAAGGGGACGGCCCCCAACCGTCCCGAATCCCCCGATGCACCAGAAAAAAAAGACGTCTTCGCCCCGCCGCAAAGAGCCCTCTTCGTCCCCTCGTTTCCTCCGAGAGCATTGGCCCACTTATTCCTCAATGCGCTCGGAGCAAATGGTGGTAAAAAAATCAAAACTATAGTAAATGTTTAAAACCCGGTTGGAGAGAAAAGTGTTTTCCTTTCATTTTTTCGTTTTTACCTCGCTCTGTCGCTCAACGCCAGCAAGGTGCGTGGCGGCGGCGGCGGCGGCTCCCCCGCGCTGCAACCCAACGCGCCAGCCCAACTCTGCAATCATATACCTTCGCGGTGCACCCGCCGCGACCACTTCTTCTTGATGACGAGCTCCTCGTTCATCCTTGCCGTTATCGCCGCGGTGATGTGGAGGTGGTCGGTGTCGCAGGTCTGGCAGGTGTCGATGTCGATGTCCGCCTCCCACCCGGGGCGCCCCATTTTCATCTTCTGCACGATGTTGTAGCTTGCGGAGAGCGGGTCCCTGTTGGAGAGCCGCAGCTCCCGCCGCAAGTTGTGCTCCACGGTGGTGTTTACCTCTTCGAAACGGTAGACGTCCTCGCCGAAGACGCCGCCCACGCCTTTTGTAACGCGCGTCCACTCGTCCTTGGCGACGTCGTACGTGACGGAGCGGTCCACATACCCCGGAGGCAGGACTGTGAAGGGGTGGGCGGGGCCGCTTCCGGCTGCGGGTCCGGGCCGGCGATGGGCGGCCCGCGGAACGTGGGGAGCAGCAACGCGGCCGTGCGGAGGTCCAGCGCCAAGGTGTTGGCCCCCGGCGGCACCCAGAACGTGGGCCAGTGGCCGTTCGCCAGCGAGAGCCGCAGGCGGTGGCCCGTGCCGAAGCGGTGGGCGCAGTAGTTCAGCAGGGCCCTGGCGCGAACACGCCTGCCCTGCTGGAGGTACTCAATTCGGTCGTCGCCCGCGGCCTGCGTCAGGTCCTTCACGCCGAAGGAGACGCGGCTCACCGCACCGTCCGGCGCGACGTCGCTGAGCTGCGCGAACAGCATCGCCTTTGGCTTGTCGCACGTCAGCTCCACCTCAAAGTTGGGGCGGCCCAAGATCTCCACCTCCTGCTGCAGCTCCGCGCCCTGGAAGACCATCGACATGCCGTCGTCCATGCGCTGATCCTCGGGCGTTTCGCCGGACACCCCGGCGCCCATCCACTCGCCGGCAAGAAGGCAATGGCTCAACGGAGTTTTGAGCGGAACAGGCGCGCGTTCCGGCCGCACGGCCTGGGCCGTGTCCAGGATGCGCCCGTCTCCAAGCCGCATCGTCTCTTTGGCAACGTCCTTCGAGGGCCACGCCTCGACACCGACCCAGTGGCCCTGACTGACCGGGCGATGGGCATCCGGCTCCATGTAATGCTCCATCCAAGCCTGAATCATGGAGCCATTCTTCACGTTGTTCCCCGTCCCCTTTAGCCAACGGTCCCACCAGCGCACGGCCTCCTGCAAAAACCCAATTGCCGGATGTGGGACGCCTTCCTGCGGGTAAACGTGTGTCCAGGGCCCCCACAAATCCTTTCCGGGGAAACTTCAGGTTTGACAGCAGTTTAAAGGCGGCATTTGCGTAGGAGTCCGCCCAGCCACTCACAGCCGTCACAGGCACCTGAATGGCGTCGTAGTCTTCGCAGACGGAGCCGTGTTTCCAGTAGTCGTCGTACCTTTGGTGTTTCGCCCAGTCCGGAATGCTGATGGGCATATGCTCCAGGCGCCGCAGCCATATTTCCTTCCAGCGGTCCCCAACGATTTCTGGATCGACGGGGCGTGACTGGCACGCCAGCATGATGGAACCCCACCAGAAGTTGTCGTTGAGGAGGCAGCCGCCCTGCCAATGAATGTCGCCGGCGAAGCGGTTATCGGTGAAGCCGACGGTGATGATGGCCTTTAGCGCGGCCGGACGGCGCGCCGCGACCTGCAGGGAATTGAACCCTCCCCAAGACTTCCCCATCATGCCAGCATTGCCATTGCACCAGGGCTGCCTGCTGATCCGCTCGATCACTTCCACCGCGTCGTCCTGCTCCTGCTGCAGGTACCCGTCCTGCATAAGCCCGTCCGACTCGCCGCTGCCACGCATGTCCACGCGACAGACGGCGTAGCCGTGGCCCGCAAAGTAGCCGTGCATCGGCTCATCCCGCGTGCATGTCCCGTCACGTTTGCGATACGGGATGTACTCCAATAGGGCCGGTCGGGGCACCTCGTCCGCTGGAAGGCAGAGCCGGCAGAAAAGCCTCGTGGCATCCCTTCAGCTCGATAAACACATTCTCGACTGTCTTGCCTTTGGTTGGAAGCGTCGAAACGACACGTTTCTGCGTCTTACATTCTGAATCCCCAGTGAGCCCTGCACCTGCAGCTTCTCTCCCCCTTTGACTCAACTGACGACGGACTGGTTTGTGTGTCTGGCGACGCAACTATAAACGGGACCGTTTCCTTCCGTTTGCGGGCGGAACGCGGTCCCCCGAAAGATGGGGCAGAATAACGCAAAGAGACAAAGATGGGAAAGAAGCGAAGGCCACAGTCTCAAATCCGCCGTGCACACAAAGCAAGCACGGAGATGTGGAGGGAGCTGCGGCGCGAGTAAAAGAAGGACGTGGACGCAGGCGTAGAGGGCGAGGGACCGCCGGACGAAGGAGGGGGAGGCGCCGGCGGGGTCTCGCGCTGCCGCCGTCCTTCAGCGCCCACCCCCGCTCAGTGGCCGTCGTAAATGCCCAAGTTCTTCATGATGCGAGAGAGGACGGCCTTGTCTTCTATCACCCGGTAGTGGTGTAGGCGCGTGTACAGGTTGGCGTGCCCCTTCACGGCCCTCCGAAGCTCCATCGTGTAGCGCACAATGTTCCGCATCGGGACGATTGCCTTCACCGACCGCCCATCGTCTTGGATGTCCACCGTGACGGCCTTGCGCTCGTTCAGGGAGCTCACGACGCCGCCGATGTAGGCGGCCTCCGAGAGGTGCACCTCCACCTCCATCATCGGCTCCATCGCGGCGAGCTTGGCTTTGGGGACAGAGCGGAGCAGCTCCAGCACGAGGGAGCGGGCCGCCTGCTGCAGCGGGGCCTCCAGCAGCTGTGCGCCGCCAAACTTTTTGAACTCCGTCAGGACGACCCGCACGCCGTGGAGGGGCAGACCGGCAAGAGGGCCCATGTGGGCGCAGTCCGTGACCGCGCCAGAGAACACGTCGGTGAGTAGCCGCAGTTCATCCTTCACACCGCGCTGATGGTCCTCCGCGCGGCGTCTTCGATCGTTGCGGTGGGCAGCCGCTCCGGCAAGGTACTTCTCCGTGAACGCCTCGTCCAGCGCGAAGGAACAGGTCTGGCTTGGATCGCAAGTGTCGTCTGCCTCAAGCAGCGGCAGGAGTCGCAGCGAGCACTCAACGTAGGGGAGCTCATTGTAGGTCCCAGTCCCTCGCAGAAGCTCCACGGCCTCGCGCACCACCTCGCGATACTCCACGATGGCCCGTAGAAGCCGGCACTTTAGCTGGTAATCGTGCTCCAGGCGTGACATGACGATTTCAAGGTGTAGTTCTCCCATCCCGCTCAAAACCACTTGCCCAAAATCGTTCTTGTGTACCCGTAGGCTGGGGTCTTCAAAACTCAGTTCCTGCAGAGCCCCATCCAGGAGGGGGATTTGCTGCTTTGTGGCAGCCTCCACCGCGAAGGAAATAACAGCTGGCGGGGGGTTGATGCCCTCCAGCGTGAATACCTCCTTCCTCGCGCCGTCGGCGCGCGGCTGGGGTTGCTGGGGTGGAGCAAACAGGGTGGCGCCTGTCTTGGTGAACTGCATGAAGGCCGCCCCAATCTCTCCTGCGACGAGGTGGGGGACCTCCACCTGACGATTTGCGTGCATCACATACAATTTTTCAAGGCTCTCGTGTCGATTACAGTTATTGTTCACCAGCGTCAGCCTCGGTGTGACCTTGCCGCTGTACACACGGAAGAAGACCAGCGGCTGGCGTCGGCCCTTTGGGCCCGTGGCGTGTGTCACCTTAAACGCCAGCGCCACCACAGGGGCAGAGGCGGCGGCGGTGGCGGGCGGGAGGGGCACGACGTCCCCGTCGCGGGCGTAGCCGGTGAGGGGGCGATCCAGCGGGGAGGGCAGGTAGTCTGCGACGGCGTCCAGCAGGGGCTGCACCCCTTGATCGCGCCTGGCGGCCCCGCAAAGCAGCGGCAGCACCGGCCTAGGCCCCGCCTGGCGCAGCGTCTGCCGCCGGATCGCGGCACGCAGGAGGTCAGACGGGAGGAGCACCTCCGTCTTCTGCTCGTCCCCGTCGGTCTGGTCCAGCAGGGCGATGACGGCGTCCGAGAGGAGATCGTCCAGCGCTGTCAAGGTCGAGATGAGCTCGTGGCGCGCCGCCAACGCCTGCTGGAGGAGGTGCGCCGGCTCAAAGTCAGGCGACTGCAGCTCCTGCCGCGCCACCTCCAAGCCATGGTTGCCTCCGAAACGGCACGCCTTCATCTCGACGACGTCGATGACGCCCTCGAAACTGCCGTCCTCTGAGAGAAGCGGCAGCTGCAGCAGGAGCGGCTCCACCTCCAGCTTCCGCCGGATAGACTCCACAGACATCTTGAAGTCCGCGTTGTACTTGTCCATCTTGTTCAAAAACCCAATCACGGGGATGCCAAACCTTCTGCTTTGGCGCAAAACCGTGTAACTCTGCGCCTGCACACCGGCGGAGGCGTCAAATAGGGCAACGACGCCGTCCACCACCCGCATCGCACGCTCCACCTCCACCGTGAAGTCCACGTGGCCAGGCGTGTCGATGAGGTGAATGCTGTGATTCCGCCACTGGAAAGAGACGGCGGCGGACTGAATTGTGATGCCGCGTTCCATCTCCTCCTTCATGAAGTCCGTTGTGGTCGTCCCGCTGTCCACGTCCCCGACGCGCTTCAAGACACCCGCGTAGAACAGCATGCGCTCCGTCGTGGTCGTCTTACCGGCATCAATGTGCGCCACAACCCCAATGTTGCGCATGCGCAAGATGGACGACTCCAGCGCGGCGGCCGTGAGGCGGGAAGACGACGCCGCCGCCCGGGCGCTGTTGAGCGGCACACATTGCGAGAGTGGCCGGCGCAGCTGCCCTGCGGTCGTGCACCGCCACAGCGGAGCCACGCGCCGCCAGTGGCAACCAGCACACGGCCAAAACATGCGGGAATTCTGGCTGCGGAAGGAGAAGGGGCGAAAGTACGCCGCCTTCAGCTCTGCAATCCGCAAGAGAAAAAAGAAAGCAAAAAAGAGGGTAAAAGGAAAGACACGCGCATCATCCCCTTCCTCGGAGGCACGGTTGCTACTGCCGCTGCTGCGGTGAAAGAAGCGAGGCATTGCATTCACTGCTGCCGCCCATTCGCGTACCCTCGGCTGTTTTTTTTTCGGTTTTCACTTTTCTCCACGCTGAACTATCACAAAGTTAAAAAAAACCCGAACAAACACACGCACACCGTCTTCGCAGCAGTCACCGACGTGCTCCTACCACGAGTCGCCCCGCCTAAGTTTGAAGTTCCTCCGCACTGTCCATACGCCCATACACACACACGTCTGTTCCCCGCGACTGCATCCCTGGCGGCTCCAAATACTCCGCTCGGCTCGCCGCATTTGTAATGATTTCCGTCATCTTTACGTCTTTCATTTCTGTTATTTCCTTCCTTCTTTGTTATTGCGGCAGCGGCGGCAGGGCATCGTTGCTGCCCACACACACACACTCCCCTACACGATACCCCCCTCGCCCTGCCCGCGACGTCACTTGGCGTTGGCCGCCTCAATGGCCTTTATCTTTTCAATGCGCCGGGCGTGGCGGTCCTCGCCGCTGAAGGGCGTCTGCAGGAACGTGATGATTATCTCCCGGATGACCTCCACGCCTGTCGTCCGCTGCCCCACGCACACAACGTTCGCGTCGTTGTGCAGCCGCGACATCGCCGCGGTGTAGTGGTCGTGGCAGAGGGCCGCCCGCACCCCGGCGACTTTGTTGGCCGCGATGGACATGCCGATCCCGCTGCCGCACGCCAGCACGCCAAACTCCGCCTCCTTACTTGCCACCATCGTCGCCACACGGCTGGCGAAGTCCGGGTAGTCGACGCGCTCCGCCGTCACGGTTCCGCAGTACACCGGCACGAACTCCCCGCCGGCCTCCTTCACACACTCCATCAGCTTCTCATGCATGTCGAATGCAATGTGATCCGTGCCGACGGCCACCTTGCGCGGCATTGCTGCTGAGGATCAATACTGTGTCGGCTACTCCTTGTAGTGGTGACAGCTGTCGCGGCTCTGTACAGCTACGACCGAGCAGGCAGGAGGCTATGTAACTTTGACTTGACTGACGTCGCTTCCTGCCACGGCAGCAGAGAGAAAGGGGGCGAAGTGGTGAGCAAAGGCAAACGCCGGGCGGGCAATCGACAGGAGAGGAAGGAAGCCGGGGACGGCGGCAGCGCCCGCCACGTTGCCGCCGTCGCCCTCCCCCCGCGGGACGCACTCAATCGCGCGCAAGGGCAAGCAGACATGCGTAGGTAAATGCGTTTGCGTGCATGCACCCGCGTGCAGGAGCGCGGGCAAAACAATAAACACAACGGTACTAGCTATCCTACGCGCACACACGCACGTACACATACGTAGAGGGCGCCGGAGCAGGCTTCTCGTGACGGCGCCCACTGCAATCGACACATGTTCTCCCCATAAAAAATTTGTCCTGTGCCCGCAGGGTGAAAAGAAAGTCGCCCGTGGCGTTCCTTTTCGTGACCGCAGCTGTTGCGTGCCCCTTTGTTACCTCCATGCCCCTCTGCCAGCCGGCGCCAAGGCAGGCCCTCCCCACCCCCCCCCCTCCGCTCGGCTCGCCGCATTGGTAATGATTTCCGTCATCCTTACGCCTTTCGTTTCTGCTATTTACTTCTTTGTTTGTTGTTGCGGCAGCGGCGGATTCTTGCCGGTGCCCGTTTTGCTGCATTTTTTGCGCGCCTCCGTCAGCTAAAGGAGGGGAGGCGCCCTCATTGCCGCCTCGGTAACGGCGTTGTTCCTTTTGTTTGCGTCCTCTCCTTCATCGCTTTTCTTCTTTTCTTTCCCTCCCCCCGTTTATTGCGCCTACTGAGTTGTGTCGCACGCAGCCGCCAGGGGGTTCGTTCGTTCCCTCACGCACAGGCACGCTCACGTGCATCATTCGCATCCACCACCGGCGGCGGCAGGCGGCCCGCAGCTCTCACGGCAAGAAGTAGTCCGGGAGTACACGCATCAGGTACAACACGACGCACTTCGTCTCCGCGAAGGGCACCTCCGTGCAGTAGTAGATTGTCTCCACGTACCGCTGGCAGGCGCCGTAGTGCCCAATCCAGACACACAGGAGGCGAAACATGTTGCGGAAAAAGCAACCCCCGTAGCGGTGATAGTACGCCTCACTGGCGCTCATAGGGGCGCAGTGGCCATGCACTAGAAAGGCGGGGCAGCGCGCCGCCCCGTCGCCTGCCGTGCAGTAGCAAGAACCCTCTCTGGGTGGCCGAACGGCGCAGCCCCTGGGGGGCTTCCCACGCTGCCTCCACCTCTTGGCGCAGTGGTGCAGGCTATTGCGTTGCTCCTTCCACTTCTCGTAACTTGCCTTCGCCAGCGTTTTCAGCCCTCGCAGGATTTCGTGCACGGCGGCCTCCCCACCCAAGCGGGCGGCGCGAACGAACACCAACACACACGTCGTGACAACGCAGAGGCGTCCGGCGTTCTGAATTCGCTCCGCATTCAGTGGACCCAGCATGCTGTAGACCAGCTTGTGTGGCTCCTGCAGTAGCGCCCGCTCAAGCTCCGCCAGCGAGCTCAGACCCCCGTCGTCCTCGCCGTCAGCTGCCATCTCGGGGAAGAGTGGAAGCGAAAACTGCGGTGGGGGACCGATGGGAGGCAGTTCTACCTCGGCCAGGATGAGGGCCCGGTCATTTTCATCAAAGAAGCGCGGAAACGGGCGCGCCTCCAGTGCGAGACGGTGCGGAGAGCGCAGGAGGATCTGCAGCATGTCCCACAACGACAGCGCGGAATTCGCAGCGGAGGTGGTCGGGGGCGCGCAAGCAGCGGCGGAAGCCTCACGCCCTGTTCCCACGGCGCCAGTCTCGCGGGAGGTTTCCCTCGCCGGCTGCCGCCTCTCGCTAAGGATCTCGACGAAGCGTCGCGAGTGCCTTCCAATGTAGTTGAGGCGCTCCGGGTGCCCCGTCACGACGTCTCCGATGCGGGCGACGCCGTCCAGCGAGTCCTTTGCGTCCACCGTGGCGGCGGTCACTGGTTTCCAGACGTAGTTCACCTTGGAGCGCAGTCCAGGGGTCAGCGAAAGCAGCAGACTGCGCAGGAAGAGGTTTGTGTCACACCCGTGACGATGCATGCGCCGCAGCAGCACCTTCGCAAATGGCTCATGCTCCCCCCGATCCAACGGGGGCCGCCGCAGCAGCTGCTCCACGCGCTCTGAAGTCGCGTGCAGCGGGTGAAGCTGCAAGGAGGATGCTGTGGAGGGGTTATTGAGGTGAAGCAGATCCACCGCCCCTGTCACGTAGTTTTGCAGAAGTGTGAGGTTGTCGTGGTGGTAGCGAATAAGCTCTCCGAGGAGTGCAAAGAAGCTGTCTATCCGCTTTGAGGGGGAAAGCGATCCACTAAGGCCCGGCATGTACGTCGCATTGTACACGCGGTGCTCAAGAATAGAGCGCATCAGCACTTTGCCTAGCACCGTCTGCGGGGCATCCGCAGCATTCTTCTTATGCACTGGAAAGGAAAAACCACGCAAATACCCCTCCAGGGCATGACACGCCGACGTCTCCACGCAGCTGTCTTCGTTTTGCTGAGCCAACGTCAAGGCAATTTTGAGCGCAAGCGGGGCGGACTCCCTGGCGGTGTCGCCCTCGTGTAGCATGGAACACTCGCGACGGTCCTGCGCGTTCCAAAACTCATGCACGCCGCGCAAAAGCTCCAGCCTGCGAATCGTGCTGGGGTCGTGCTGGTGGTTCTTGTCGTCAAACCCGTCCTCATCGTCCAGGCTTCCCTGGTGTGTGGAGGAACGAATAAACGCCTCGCTATCCTCGCCCATCTGCAGCGCAGGAGGACACCCCTCCCATTCATGCCTGCTGCTCCCATCGTCGCTGCTGCTGCCGTGGTGGTATTGTTGGTGGATGATGCCCTCGTGCTGAGCCCCAATTGCTGCACCGTTTTGCATTTCCTCCGCCTCGTCATCCCGTGACTGTCCGCCGTATTCGGCCTCCGCAGGCACCACCTCCGCGCTGTCGTCGCCCGGCGGCAGGAAGCGTGGGAACCGGCGAAGCCCCGACAGCCGCTGCAGCTGCTCCATCTGCGGCGACAAGGAGCGATGGTGGGCACGCAACTCAAAAGCTGAGTCGTAAAACCGGCTTGCGGCGCTGATCCAGTGGCAATCCCGCAGCGTGCACCAGACGTCCCCAAAGAAGAAGGTAGAGAGCATGAGGTTTAGCACAAAGAGAATCTCGCTTTGCGCCCCCACGATGACCTGTGGACTGTAGGAATCCGTTGGGTTCTGCAGCACGGGGGCGAGGAAGCGCCAGAAGGCGCGGTTCTCCTTCCAAAACGCCTCGTACGCCTTGCTATCCGTCACCGGCCCAAAGCCAGAGAGCATGGGGCGATTGTCGTCCACCTCCTCCCGCAGCGTCAGGTCACGCAGACGCCATCGCTGCTTGGCGTCCGCGCAGCCGACGAACCAGACAAAGTCCACGTTGGAGCCGGCCGGCTCGACCGAGTCGGCGGAGGAGTCGTCGTCCGTCCACTGGGTCGTCATGGCGGGCAGCCGCAGCTGCGGCGAGGCGCCCCCGAAGTCCCCCGCCGGGCCCCACCCCGCAGAGCCTGCGGGGTCGCCGCTGTTGTTGTTGTTGTTGTTGTTGCTGCTGCTGCTGCTGCTGCTGCGGTCCCAGCCCCGCGAGGCGGCCTGCCCCCGCTGCCCAAAGTCCAAGTCCTCTAACGCGTTCGCGGGCAGAACTACGCCCATCAGGGACGGGATTGCGGCAATGGCGGTGGTGGACAACTCCCGCACTAGCTGGTCGAAGAGAGAGTCGTCGAGAAAGTGGGGCAAGCGCTCGGTCCGCATCGCGGCGCCAGGGTCGCCGGACCCACGCACCTCGCACAGCCTCACCAGCCGCCGCACAAGGTCCTTCTCCCCGATCAACCAGAGAACGTTGCTATCAATGACCCGCTGGATGCGCCGCAGCGGCAGGAGCGTTTCAGGGTAGACGAGACGCTGGTGCGGGGATTGATGCTGATTCAACACCACCCCCGGAACAATAAGCAGCGCGATGACGCGGCACAAAATAGCCAACGTTGCGTCGTCTTTGGTGCGGATCAGCTCCTGCAGCGCCGGGACCTTTGATATCTCCAACACGGGGCCCACGCTCAGCACCAGGTGCTCCAGCATGACAAGCGCGGTCAGCCGCAGCTCCGTCACCTTTGCCAGCTCGAGTAGCCTGAAAAAGAGCCCGGGGTAGCGGTCATAGTAGTGCCAGCCCAGTTCATTGTGGCAGACGAGCAGCTCCGTGAGCACCCGCATCAACGTCGCGATGGCGCGAAGAAATAGCCAGGGAGCATGCGTCTTTGAGTCGTAAATGCCGAGCGGACGCGAGGATGCCTTGTCCAGTCGCACCGGCATGTTCACGTCACAGAGCAGGGTGACAAACAAGTCAATGCCGCCAAGTCCTACAAAGTAGGCCAGCAGATGCGGCTTGTTAGGGTCAAAGTAGGCGGCGCAGTCCTGCAGGCCCCGGTTCAGGGCGTTGAGGTCCGCGCGCTCCCAGGCCCACAAAATACGCCGCAGCAGGTCGAACTGTTCGGCGGAGAGCGCGTTGATCTCCCGCAGCTGTGCCGTCTCCGCCGCGGTCATCCGCGGGCACTGCGCCCAGGGCAGCACGCGACGCAAGTGGGGCCGCCCCCTGCCCGAGAGCTGCTCTCGCAACAGTGGAAACAGCGGCATGGCGCCGAGTCGAAGCGCGCCACCCGAAGAACACCAGTCAGAGCTAACAAGAATAATATATATATATATATCTATATATTATGCTGTATGTAATACTTTACCTACCCCCGGGCAGTCCCGGAGGGTGTCCTCCCTGTGGCTACACGGTGGGTCGGTCAAGGCGGCAGAAATAGGCGTGGGGAGTTGGCAGGAGAAGCACGCACGCACGCATAACGCGAGGCGAGGAGGTGGACAGAGGCGGAGCGCGTCGCATGAGACACGGCGGACGAAGCAGACGCCAGCGTCAGGAGCAAAGCAGGAAAACGGAGGGAAAAAACTGCAGTAGGCGAAGCCAATCCACAAGGAAGAAAAACAAAAAAACAAAAAACAAAAAAAAGGTAAAAAGAAAAAAAACAGTAAAGAGGGAAAGAGATATATTTGAAATTCTACAAAACTACCCTGCTTCCCACTCCCCGCCGCCGCCTCCACGCACGACGCGAGCGACACCCCCCTGCAGGCCGCAGCCGTCAAGACAACAACGCGCCGCACGAAGGAGGAGAAGGGGAGGAGGCGTCCAGCAACAACCTGGGGGAAATGCCAGACGTGAGCGCGGGGGCCACCCCTCCCCGACCGTGCCGGGGCCGCACTCAAATGAGCCGCTGCCACTCACAACACGCTTCCGTCGAGGGGGTGGGGAATGGAAGAAAGGTAGAAGAAGACAAAAAAAAGAAAAAAAGAGGCCCGCCGGAGTAAAACAACAAAAAACACACACGCACAAATAATGTCACTGCACCTCTATCCGCCGTCCTCCCCACAAGAGGGAGAGAAAACACAACAAACAAAGAGGGTGAAGAAGCTTCTCCATGTATTTGTTTAACTTTCCCTCTTTGTGCCCCTTCGCTTTTTTTTGTTTTTGTGTCCCTCCCCCCAAATTTGCTGAAATTCTTCCTCCTGAGCCTTCGCTTCTGTCTCCGTCCGCTGTTAGAGCTTGACTGGAATGCGTTGCTGCAGCTTTCACGGGCCTTCTCTATTCATAAATGCACCCAACTTGTTCTTTTGTTTTTTTTTGCACGTGTTGCTCTCATTTGCTTTTGTACCTTTTTGTGTGACCTTGCCGAATTTATTACTCTTCATCGTCCGCCCCTTCATCCATTGCTATGGAGGCCAGCTGAGTGGAAATGGATGGCCTCCCTTTTCCCCCTCACGCCGCGTATTCCCCCGCACTCTAGATACCCTGCTTTTCCCCACCTCAGTCCCTCTCCCTCGCCAACGCAGTCCTCTGGCTGTGGTCCTCGAGGGCTGCCGCACCGCGCCCACGCAAATATCTAAGCGTAACGCGTACACACGCCCTCCCGCAGCTCACTGCTTGCTCTCATCTTCTAGGTTTTTCAGCTCCCTTGGCGGCGGCTACACGGCCCTTATGGAGCCCTTCCGTCGCGGTGGGTCGTTGTCCTTCGACGGCGACGGAGCCAGCCGCGGCTGGTAGTTTTCAACCTGCTTCGTGGACTTCTGCAGCGTCGCCTCCGCTGGCCGCTGCTCCCTCGGCAGCTCCAACGGCTCCGCCGGCGGCTCCGACCGCTCCGTGCGGGCGACAGAAGGCTGCAGGGGCGGCACCGACCCGCCGCTAGCACTGGCGCCCCCACGGAGGGCAGCCGCCACAGCGACAGCAGTGCTAGCGGCGGTGCCGTTCTGCCGCGCCTCGGAGAAAACCGGCCCGGCGTTTTTGGTTCGCTCAGTCGACTCCGCAGGGGTCTGGGCACCGGAGGGGGTAGACGGCCGGAAAGGCGGGTTCGCCTCTTGGGGCACGCAGCCATCCACACGGGCGTCGCTAGGCGGCTTTGAGTCATGGCCGTTGGGGGCATCGTTGCAGTGATTGAGCGGAGCTCCGCCACTGCTGCCTACGACGGCAACGCGCGACACTTGCGCCGGGTCACTTTCGGAAGCGGCGGTGTTGCACCCACATGAACATTCCCGCCTCTTTTCCAGCGCAGCAACGCGAAACTCAAGCTCCAGCTGCTTCCGCCTTTGCTCGGCTAGCTCCACTCGCAACTGCTCCACCATCTGCCTCATGACGTGCTCCGACTGGTCCTCCAACTGAGTGGGGGTCTTCTCGCGCGGCACACTCTTTGCTGGCTCACGTGGCATACTCTTTGTTGGCTCGCGTGGCCCATCCATTGCTGGCTCACGCGGCACACTCTTTGCTGGCTCGCGTGGCATACTTTTTGCTGGCTCGCGTGGCCCATCCATTGCTGGCTCACGTGGCACACTCTTTGCTGGCTCGCGTGGCACGCTCTTTGCCGGTTCGCGTGGCCCACTCATCGTCCGGCGGTCTTGCTGGAGCTCTTGTCTTGCTGCATTGCCCTGGCCTTGGCGTGGGACTTGGTACGGCGCCTCCTGCAGGCCCCTGGAAGAGTGCCGCGAGTACGCATCAGAGTCCCTGCAAGAGTGAGAACGCTCATTCATGCGCCGGTTAGATGGGCTGCCTGTGCGTGACGACATCGCGCCGCGCGAGGAGGCGCGTGACTGACGCCGCGACTGCGCCCGCGAAAACCGCCGAAGACTTTTGGTTGCCATGTATGCGTCCCGGTCGTCGGGGCCAACGTAGACTGGGTGCAGCCCCCGCTCGTCCCGCTCGTCGTTGCCCTCGTCAACCCGCCTTGCAATGCCTTGGCAGGCGTCGGTCACAATCGCCGCGACGGTGCCGTTCGTTTTTTGTACACTGTCGATGATCCTCCACGCGACCTCCTGGCTCAGCTTCCAGCCGTAGATGTCCAGCAGCAGCAGGGTGCGGTTGGCGCGCAGCGCGGAGAGCACAACCGCGGCGGCGTCTGGTGTGGGGTTCATGAAGCCGAGAAAGAGCTGAATGAGCGAGGTGTTGGTTTGCAGCACCTCGGCATACATCTCAATGGTCGCGCTGTCAAAGAGGTTGTGCCGCAGATTGAGGCGCTGAATGTTGCAGGAGCTCGTCATGAGGGCCCGGGCCAGCTCCCTCCCGCCGCTGGGGCCGATGCGGTTGGCGGTGAGGTCGAGGGTGGAGAGGGTGACCGTCAGGGGGATGCACTGCGCCAGCTGGGCGGCCCCGGTGTCTCGGATCGAGTTGTAGCCGAGGTGCAGGTGCCGCAGCTTCCCGGCGTGACGGATGGCCTGCCCTAAGTACGTGGCGGCGTCTGCCTCGATCTTGTTGTTGTGGAAGGAGAGCTCCACTATGTCGCAGGACTCGTTGCCGAGCGCGGCGGCGATGGGGATGACGCCCAGCTTGGTGATGTCGTTCTCCGAGAGGTCCAGCACCTTCAGCCCGCAGCCGTCGCGGGAGAGCGTGTGCCCAATCACCACCGCCGCCTGGTCCTTCAGCTTGTTCCTGCCGAGCCGCAGCTCGCGAATGGTGCCGGGGTTCTTCTCCACGGCCTCCAACAGCCGCTGCAGCCCGGTCAGCCCAAAGGCGTTCCCCTCCAGGTTCAGCACGCGGATGGAGTGGGCCGTGGAGCGGAGAGCCTCGGCGATGCAGCCCACGTCCAAGTCGTTCAGGTGCACAGACCGGTCGGACAAATTTGCCTCCTTGTCGTTGTTCTCAAAGGCCTCCACCAGCTCCAGCGCACACTCCGCGTGCTCACGGCTGCACGCCTCCACGTAAACCTCCGCCGCCTCCGATTGAACTCGAGCCATGGATATATGTAATTTATGTGTGTGTGTGTTTACTTATTTGTGTGTGTGTGTGTGCGTGTGTGTGTCCGGCTCTTATGGGTTCAGCTACGTTTGCTGCTCCTGCCACCAGCGCGTGCGTTGGAGCAATGAACGACGGCAAGAGAAAACATACAAAAATAATAATAATAATAATAAAAGAAGCCAAAGAAGAAGTGCTTCCGGAGTTCGCAGGTCTCGAAGACGCAGGAAGCAAAGGAAAAGGCGGAAAACGACGGAGGCGCAAAGGGGCAGCAAAGCCGAAATGAAAAAAAAAAGGAAAAAGCGACACTAAAGAACCCTAAGTATCAAGGGACGAGCACGCGCACGCACGCACGCACTGAGAAAGTGGAAGAGGGGGAGCACCACCCTCGAACGACGGGGCCCCCCGTCCTCCCACACGGCGGCCAGAAGGCCCCGGGGGCAGACGCGGGAGTTGCCTCTCGCGCGCGCCAACGCCCCTCCACGCACGCGCCCCTCACAAGGGCAGCCCGGCCGGAAGGCATTGCCCCCTCGCCACGCCGCCTTTGCCCCCTTCCGCATGGGAAGGCAACGGCGGTGGCGTCTCGGCGACTGCCGTGGCTGCCGAATTATGCGAAGAATAGAAGGAGTGACTGCGAGAGAGAAAGAAAGACCACACAACAATAACAAAAACAACAAAATGGCAAAAAAAAAGAAGGGTGATTTCACGTCCTCGTT